TGCTATTCCTCTGGTCCCTATGCAAACAAGACTGGCCACATTACTAGCCCAAGAGGCTCATGAGAAGAACCACAAGGGGGTCGCAGCAACTCTCCTCGACACTCGGAAAAGAGCCTGGATCATACAGGGCCACCGAGTCGTCAGAAGAGTAATAAATGACTGCATACACTGCCAAAAGCAAAGAGCGAGAGCAGAGATGTCAAACTCATTTTTGTCACGGGCCACATTGTAGTTACAGTTTCCCTTGGAGGGACGTTATGAATTTTGGGAAATCATAGAAATGTTTAATCCCCTCCACATGTTCCATAAACAGCGCACAACAAATTGATGGATAACTAGTTTTAAAATCAGAAGTTAAGAATAATGACTGTTATTGTGGATTACGTATGGCAATTTGAAATTTTGGTTTAGACTTGAGCAAGCATCATTGGACTTGACCTGATTGATTTGTTTTCACGGGCCACATCAAATGATGTGGTGGGCCAGATCTGGCCCGCGGGCCTTCACTTTGGCACGTGTGAGCTAGAGTATGCCAGCAAGTGATGAGTGACCTGTGGAGCGCACACAAAGGGCGCACACAAAGGGCGGGCCCTTTTGAGTATACATATTGACACGAGTTTGCCAAGGGAAAAGTGAAAAAAACAAACAAATAAACTTTGTTGTAATGCGTATAAACTGCCTTTTGATTATGTGTTGATGTAAGCTCCCTGGATGGGACATCGATAATTTAAGTGGGAGGTGTTGGATTTACTTGGGGCTTTAGGAGGGGGGGGGGGGGGGCGACCACTGACAGATGACTCGACGTATAAAAAGCGGCATCGCAGTTATTCGTTTTAAAAAAAAAATAATTCATTTCGTCGTCAGCATGGCCCCAATCTGTGGAGTTATCTTTTAGATTCAATCATGCTCGCTTATTTTGTTTTTCTGCTTTGTCTTGGGGCCGTAGGGCTTTATGTTTGCTGCATCGCAATCACAGTTCGTTGCCATTCGCGATCGGCATTTTAAACAACGTGGGCAAAAGTATTGTAATCACAGTGGTCTCTTTACTTTTTCCTTTTTTTTAAGTAGTTGCCATGTCATGTATGTCCGGCTGCACTGGAATGTTTAAATGAGTAATTTGCGTTACGGCTGGAGTTAATCGTGCCGGCGCTCCGCTTTCGGGTTTGACCGCTAGGACTTGTAGTCCTTTGTTCGGTTCCACTTGGTTTGTTTCTGTTGTTTGGCTTCTTGCGTTTAGACTATGAATAATGATGACAATAATAAAACATAGTGTAAAATCATGGTTGAGAGAATTATTGTTAAGATGAAGGTATTACATTAATTAATGTCAATTATATACATTTACATTGTGATGCATGAAGATAGATATATTTATTTTTGTTGCATTTATGTGTATTTTAAGTTATTACCTGCTGCTGCTGCTATACTTCAATAAATGATCAAAAAAGTACAAAGCGAGTAATCCTTCCGTGCTGACTGACGATCCCTATTCAGAGGGCCGTGAAAAACGGGAATAACTGAACATATACACAGTAACCTTCTGGTTCCAATGGTCAAAACCTCACAGATGAGCTACTGCTGAAATTAAATTGTCTTTCTTTCTGTGGTGTTGCTTTACTATAATTGATAATTGCATGTTCAAAAATTCTTCTTAAATATGATTGATATTCCAAAACCTACCTGTTAAAATAAATGCTTATGTGACACATTTTGCTTGCCACTAGACCATATGCCGATATCCACCTTGTTTCTCTTCTACTTGCATCACACTTGCCACAGACAGCATAGTGTAGTGAGAAATAATTGATTTAAAACAAAAATAAACAGACACACCCACAGTAAACTCATGCATGAGACAGGCTCGGGATAATTGAATGAAAGGGCGGATCAGTGGAGACAATCACTCTATCCTGCTGCAAAGCAACTTGACAATCACGGTTAGCTGTGCTCTTAAGGATGTTCAAATTTATTGTCTATTCTTCATTTATGTACACCATAGATCTGCAATTGATGACGATATCAAGATGAAGGTAATAACAGACATGTACAATCTCACTTGTCATATTATACGGATGAAAATCGTAACACTGTGTCTATGTCTGCTATTATTCTTAAATCACAGTTGGGATAAACAATAGCGTGTTCTAATAATGATCATGTCAAAGCAACAAAGTAAATTTGTCAAAGATGCACTGACACAGATTTTGTCCTATACGTGACTGGTCGCAATTTTAAACAAAGTCAATACACAGTACACATACCAGAGGATTACTTTCAGAACATAATGCACCATCTTGTAGAATTGACAGTACAACGGTTTTGGACACAGACGGAGAAATATATGACAAACATGCACCACAAAGTCAAGTCAAAATAGAACACTTTGTTATATTTACATCTGTGTGTGAGTATGTCTTTAACTATGCGGGCACAATTGATCTGTGCTTATGTTATTATTTCATCGTTTTTGGCCATGGCTGCTACATAGGTTTCTTTTGTGCTCAATTTATGTAAGCAATATTGATTGGAACATGCTACAACAAAGAGTTCACCATAAAATGACAACAGATTGGAGTTCAAATGTATGAATACAGATATATATTGACAATATACTGAATATAGAAAATTGTATCGGTACACCGTCATGGATTGATAAGACACACGACAGCAAAAACAGCTATTACTCTTCTGGGAAAATGTTTGGTCTATTCATGAAGAAGAACATGAATGATCACCATTGGAACAGAAGGCCTGGCTCACAATCTCTGTTGCCGCACGAAGATGTTCGATGGGACTGAGTTGGGAGGTATTTGCCAGTAAATTTCTACCACGCCAAGCTCATCCAAACAAGCATTTAACCCTTTCATGCACCAATAATGACAACCTGTAACCTGATAACATGATAAGCTGTCCACTGTAGTAAGCGCTGTCCCTGAAAGGGTTAATATGAAGTTCCTGCCTGGATGTGGATGTTCTCTAGGTCATGATGTACTGATGCCAAGAGTATTTAGTAGGCTGTAGCCAGAATTACTGTCGGTCTTTGGTGAGCAGTTTTCTGGCTGTATATCAGGAAGTTGCTAATTCCAATTAAATAGCTGTCGTGTGTTGCCCGATTAATTCTGTGAGGGCAACTAAACTGGTGGTTAAATCAGCAGTTACGATCAGGTAGCTGCTAATGCTAGCTAGCAATGTAAGCCTTGGTCCAATGTACAGAACAGTGTCGTCTTAGTTGTCATCCCAGAGTTCTTTGTTTTGTTTAGCAGAAGAGCCAGAACACTGGAAAAGTTTGCACACAGCCCATGTTGCTGACCTTTCTTGCAAAATTCACTCCTACGCCAACATAGAATTTCCCAAAATGGCTTATGTTTTAATACGATGAAAGGGAAAAACTGATCAAGCCTACGAGTAATTAATTAATTCAACTGTGTGTTAATCAATACCGTATTTTCCGCACTAAAAGGCGTACCTAAAAGCCTTCCATTTTCTTAAAAGCTCACAGCGCGCCTTAAAATCCAATGCGCCTTGTGTATGGTCATTACGATAATATGTCAACCCCAAAATGGCTCGTTGCTAGAGACATGCTTACAACGCAGCGTTCAAACGTAAGGTTTCGCAGCTGAACACAGAAATAGAGCAGCGTCAAGAGAGTTCAACGTTAATGAGTCAATAGCCCCGTTCACACGGCAACGTTTGGTCCGACGCAGCTCCGAAATAAATCCAGTCGAGCATTCACACGTGCACATTTGCTCCGGCGTAGCTCCACTAAAGAGCTTATACCGGACCAAATTTGATCCACCTCAGGAAGGTGGTTTAAAAATTTGCTCCAGAGCAAATGCTCGTTTGCGACGCTACGCCGAAACAAATGTGCACGTGTGAACGCAGCTGGATTAAATTTGCTCCAGAGCAAATGCTCGCTTGCGGGGGAGTGGCCTCGCTACGCTCGCTACCAGA